TCAAACTCTATTGTCTAATTGAACAGCTTCAAAACAAGATTTACTAGAGAAAACAGGAAATGGGTTGTGCTTATCTCAGCATGCCAGGTTTCATGAAGGCAATGTTTCTGATGTTATTTGCTGTGATGATATTGCCAGAGCTGACTCATGCAAAGCATGCAAGAGTCACCAGGCACTACAAGTTTAACGTATGTGCAATACATTTCATTGCATGTTTTCGATACAATGAGATGCTTTTTTCAAATCAATTTTCTTTTACTGACTGTAACACTTCTCCTTTGTCTTTTTCTCAGATCAAAATGCAAAACTTCACAAGGCTATGCCAAACAAAGAGCATTGTAACTGTCAATGGACAGTTTCCTGGTCCTAGAATCATAGCAAGAGAAGGAGATAGAGTTGTGATTAAAGTGGTTAACCATGTTCAGTACAATGTGTCCCTTCATTGGTATTGTTATATAATTAGACCCCATGAACCAATTTGTTTTGATTGTTTGCATTTTCTCAACATTTGATTAAATTTTCAGGCATGGAGTTCGCCAACTGAGAAGTGGCTGGGCAGATGGACCTGCCTACATCACACAGTGTCCAATTCAGACAGGCCAGAGTTTTGTGTACAATTTTACGATCATTGGTCAAAGAGGAACATTGTGGTGGCATGCACATATCTCATGGCTTAGAACAACCCTTTATGGTCCCATTGTCATTCTTCCCAAAAGACATGTTCCTTACCCTTTCACTCATCCCTTCAGAGAAGTTCCCATCGTATTGGGTAAGTTGAGATCCTAAAAAACAACTCCATGAGAAATTTAATGTCACTATGAGCTCTACATGTTAGAAACATTGACAGTTTTCTAATATGCAAATATGTACAAAATGGCAGGAGAATGGTGGAAAGCAGACACAGAAGCAGTTATAAATCAAGCAACGAAAACAGGATTGGCACCAAATATCTCAGATGCTCACACCATCAATGGTCTTCCAGGTCCTGTCTCCAACTGCCCAGCCAAAGGTAAGAACATAGTAATAAGGAAAAGTAATTAGTATATACTTTAATAATATAAAAAATTAAAATGTTATATATGATAAGCTTTTTGAGTTTTACAATAGTTATCATAGAGTTTCTATTGGAGATAACTTCTGAATGTTGAGGATTCAAGATTCTTTTACTCAGAAATCAAAGTTAAAATAAAAAGATGGAAGAAAAACACAAACTTTGTCAATTCTTGATCATATATGATTATTGATAGTTTTCATTTCATTAAGTGAAATGGTCTATTTCTTCAGATACTTTCAAGCTCAGGGTGAAGCCTGAGAAAACATATCTGCTTCGTTTGATCAATGCTGCACTTAATGATGAGATGTTCTTCAGCATAGCCAACCACAGCCTCACTGTTGTGGAAGCTGATGCTGTGTATGTAAAGCCCTTCGGCACAAAGATTGTTCTGATCACACCTGGTCAAACGGTCAACGTGCTTCTCAGGGCCAAATCCAAGGCTCCAAACGCCACATTTGCCATATCTGCAAGGCCCTATGCTACAGGTCCAGCTGCTTTTGACAACACCACAGCCACAGGGTTTCTTGAGTACAAGAAACATTCACTTTCAAGCAACAAGTCAAACACCAAGAAGCTTCCTCTTCTTAGACCAGTGTTCCCTAAATTCAATGACAGTGTCTTTGCAATGAACTTCCACAACAAGGTGCGTAGCTTGGCCAATGCAAGATTCCCAGCAAAGGTTCCAAGAACTGTGGACAGGCGCTTCTTCTTCACCGTTGGCTTAGGAATCAGCCAATGCTCAAAAAACCAACAATGCCAAGGGCCTAATAACACAAGGGTAGCTGCTGCTGTCAACAATGTGACTTTTGTGATGCCGAGCATTGCCTTACTCCAAGCACATTTTTTCAACCAATCCAAGGGAGTTTACACCACTGATTTTCCTGCTAACCCTCCTTTCAAATTCAACTACACTGGCACTCCACCAAGCAACATCATGGTGAGTAGTGGGACTAAGGCAGTGGTGTTGCCATTCAACACTAGGGTGGAATTGGTTCTGCAAGATACAAGCATCATTGGAGCTGAGAGTCACCCACTTCACCTTCATGGCTTTAACTTCTTCATTGTGGGTCAAGGCAATGGAAACTTTGACCCCAAAAAGGACCCCAAAAACTTCAACCTGGTTGACCCTGCTGAGAGGAACACTGCTGGTGTGCCATCCGGAGGCTGGGTTGCTGTGCGCTTTCTTGCAAACAATCCAGGTGCGTACTATTCAATTACACAAGAGTTAACTAAATTAATACACTCTAATCCCATGACACATTACCATAAATAGTTTCTGATTGTTTAACATTTATCTAATACTACCATTAATGATCTCTAATTGACTGAAAGGGTCAATTTAACTCATTTATTTACTTTCTTTACTTAAAAATGTATACTTAATATCTTGTGATGCATCTATTAATGGACAGCATTAAACCAGTTTAATGATATAGTTCTTACACCAACTTCTTTTAAGATTGAAATGCTACAATATAATATCAATGATTCAATATGAAAAAGAACAAATATAACAAGAAGTCTATCTTCAAATAAGCATATTCAAGATTTTCGGTGGGATTCATTGTTAGTTTTTGAAACATCATCTGCTGATGTTGAATGAACAGGTGTTTGGTTCATGCATTGCCACCTTGAAGTGCATACTAGTTGGGGCTTGAAAATGGCATGGATAGTTCAAGATGGAAAGCGGCGCAACCAGAAGTTGCCACCTCCACCCTCTGATCTCCCCAAGTGTTGAGAAGATAGACACCTTAATGTTTTCCTTTTCTTTGTCTGGTTTTGGGGTTAGATTTTGAAGTATTTGCCTTCTGGCTTTTGATTTCAATTTTTGTCCACCTCCTTTTTCTTTTCTCATTTTTGGATATAATGTTTGGGGCAATTAGATTGTTGTTTATGTGGTAAATCTAGTTAGAGATTTGAGTGGAGAGTTGTATGCAGGTTTTAGTATTCAATCATCAATTTTAATTTGTGATACTTTTGCCAACTATTATGGTAGTATGAAAGAATCAAAGTTCCTACATATTCATTGAATGCCTAATTATATACTATTTTGGAATTTAAAAAATGATCTTGTATGATGTTAACCAAGAATAATTTTGGACCAGATAACATGAACTAATCAAGTTAGGAGTTGAATTAATTGGTAATTATTGTCTTGTGGGTACTAAATGTAGCATTATTTATATAAAATAATGAAACAGGAACAGTTTGTTTGTTCCTAAAAAGTGTTACAGGAAATCAAATTTCCTATGTTCACATGTTGCAGATAAGTCAGAAGGCATACAGGGGGGACCTGCGTGATTCTTCTGACACTCACTCACACGACACATATTAACTCGCGTGCGATCATCGTCACAAGTTAAATACTGATAACTAAATTTCTTAGGTACGTTTTTCATTTATTAAAAGTTCTCAAAGTCAAATTTTTAATTGCCATTACAATTTTGTATATCACAAAATTACTTAAGAACGTGGTTCCATGGCAAACTTTGCATAAAACTTGCTAATAACACTTTTCTTCATTTTTAACATTTTAAAATATAATTTTATTGTTAATTAAAAAAAACTTATTAAATAAATTCTCACCTTTTACTTAGCGAGTGGATAACTTTTAATAAAACAATAATAAAATATATGTGTACCATACTGACCGGGCGGTCCAGAGAGCAGCGCCGACACCAACCTAACCGCCTGCGTTTCTTCAATCTTTTTTACTGCGCTATCTGTCTCTCGCTCACGACATTCAAATTCCTTTTTCCTTCGAGTTTGGTACTCTCATATCGTTGCTAGACAACTTGCATAAACACTCATTGCGTACTGTTCTACTCGATCATTCATCCTTTCACTCGGGTGAGTAATAACCATGTACTGTACAAACTAAGCACTCCAAAGGGAGCAACGCTGAATCGATTTAACCGGACGGTTGTACAAGATCGACCGGTAAATGAACTGGGTCATTAAAACTATGATTAAGGTAAATAGTGATTAGAGTCATTGGACTAGAATTGGGCCGTGATTAACTTTTCACTAATCCCAAGCCCATGACGAAAACTATAAATACTAGTCAAAGTAAGTGGTAGATAAGTTGCATTTACTACACATCTATTATTGTTCTATTGAATTATCGAACGGTTTGAATACTGACTTTTGAATTGGAGGATCTTTGACAGGTTCTCTCCCGGACGCAAGAACAAGACAACGAAGTTTGGAACGTGACCGGACGACAAGAAGACAAATGGTGAAGGAGTTTGGCGACTCAGCCAAAACAATATGTTAGAATTAATGTATATCACTACAGTTGGAATTTAACTAAAAATATTAATTTTTTATAATGTGGTGAACAAAAATTTATTTTTTTACTAATAAATATTAATATTTAACACTTAACTGTATCTAAATAGAATTTTATTTAAAAAGGCATGTTTGTAAGAAAAATATAGTCGTGTTAGAAAACAAGAATTAACAATAAAAAAATATTATAACAGTAATGAATTATTTTTATTAATTAAAATTCAATAAAAATAATAAAATATTATTGAATGTCATAGTTTATTTAATAGTTTTTTCAATTTTTAAATTGTAATCAATAAATATAGGTTAATAAACATGTTTCTACTAGAAGGTTTATTATTTTATTAATTATTAAAAATAATAAAATTTAGTAAATCTCATGATTTATTTAACATTTTTTTTAATTTTATAGTTTATAATAATTTTTAATTAATAAAAATGTGTTAAGAAAATAGGCAGTGTGTTGCTACACTTCATTAATCATTCAGAAGAAGAAGAAAAAACAGTTATTGTACTACCGTATGCCCAAGATAAAGTAATTTTGACATAGTTACTTCCTTGGTGCTATGCACGCGCCGTGGAGTGTGTGGGCAATGACATAGAAAGAAGAAGACAATGAAAATGCGGATGTTATATTCTCGGATATACTAAGCATGGCATCTTTAATGTTTGCACTTTTCAGAGGTTCTCTCCAAGGCTCGTTGCCTCTGAAACCCGTCTTTAATATTCTGTGTTCAATCACATTTTTTGGTTTTCTAGATCCAGATGGAGGAAATCAAGGACAACCCTTCTCAAGTTAACAGGTTTCACTCTCTATCTGGGTGGTTTTCAAGATTTTTCTCTTTTCTTCTTTCTGCAGTGTTTGATCACTGATTGTTCCACCCTTTCCTGCATTTCATGTTCTAGTTTTATTTTTTATAAAAAAACGATGAATGACCCATTTTCTATTGTATATTTCACTATACTGTTGCTCTCATCCAATATGGTATGCTAATGAAAACCTTAATTTTTATGTCAGTTGCTGGATATTGAAAACTCTGCTGCTAGTAAGAGATTTAGGGTTTATTTTTCTGTACTTTTAATTTTTTGCTTTAAGAAGCTTGTTTGATACAAGTATGTTTTAAGATAATAAAATTAGAACCTTTTTAATTTTTTATTATTCTGGTTCTTTTTTACATTTTCCATCTGTTTCTTCATTCTTACTCTTAAATATTAGTTTTTATTGAATTAATTTTATAAAGTGATTTTTTAAAATTAAAAAGCAAAATCACACCTACACACCATTAGTTTACTTCCTTCAAACGAAAAATATGATTATTTTGACAAGGCCTGGTGATATATTTTTGTTAGCATGCTCTGTGTGCTTAAATAACTATCTCACTAGTCACTTTTAGTAGAATCAAGTTGAATCTCTTCTCTGAACAGCGTTTTTATTAGCTAATCTTTGTATTATGACCAGTGATTTGATAAAACATTTCTAGTTTCATAGTGAATTTTTAGAAATTATCCAAAAATACCGTTTCATTTAATTTGTAACCTATTTTTAAAGGTTTGTACTAGAAACAGTCAACATATATATTTACTTTTAAGGATAAACTTTAGACTTATAGGTATGTGCTTGTTTGTGTAGAATCTACAGCAATCAGTGGATAGAATTATGATTGTAGATGTAATCCTCTGGTACATAATATTTGGAATTTACTTCTTTGGGAAGTGTATTTTGTCTCTTTTCTATTATGAAAACCTTCAAAGTGTCAATCCTCAACCATACATTTATATTCCAGAAATGATTAGATTTATGAGAAAAGTATGCGTTCTATACTACTGGTTATTTGTAAGTGGAGAATGTTTCACTAATGAGGAAAATATGCTTCTACACTGCTGGTTATTTGTAAGTGGGTAATGCTTCACGAACAGCTACTTTAAGAAGTTTTACTCTGGCTGTTGATGCATAATAACAGGAGTCTACAAATGGTTTACTCTGATCTTAATGGTCCTTTCTGCTTATTATTATGTAAAAGCTTAGCATTTGAATTGTTATTTTTTAATTGTTTATATTTTGACACCATATTACAGGAATGGTTGAAAAATATTATTGTTTTATTCAAGAACTCCTCCATGTGTAACCATGTTGAAAATGTCAACAGAACATTGTAATGTGTTTGCAGCTATATTTGCACCACTGAAAATGCCCGTATCTTCAGTAAAATTAACAAGAAGAATGTTATAACTACAAAAGTGCTTTCCACGCAGTGATATAGCTGTATAGATCAAACGTTTGCTATCATACTATATCTAGAAGTATATTTTTGGAAACACCATTTATGTGTGCAAAAAGTACTTTGATGGAAGTGATTTTCTATGTCAATCCATTAGAGAGAAGCAACTGATTGTTTCCTGCCTTACATGTTATGTAATTTGGATGTGTCATTTGTTCTTTAAAATGTTAATCATTATTCTTTAAAATGTAAATCAGTAAGCTTTTCCATTGTTGCACAAAATAGATAATAGACTGAATTTAACCTTTGTTTGTCAGACATGACTTGATTATTATGATCTAATATATGAATATGTCTTATGTGATCAAGAAGACATGACTTTATGATCTAAAATGGGAATATGATGTCGATCATCAACACATTGATTACAATATATATCTTCTAACTTGTAGGTACTATTTATCCTTTTCAAATCTGAAGTTTCATAAGAAATCAAGAAAGAACTGGGTTTTTACTGGTTTACATACATCCCTTTTTGCCACTCCACTATCATGATTAGTAGACTTTAGCTGAATAATTGTCCTTTGCTTCTTGTTTTAATTATGTCCTCTTCTTTATGTAGGAGTGAAGGTTCTTTTGACAGTTCTTATTGAGTCCTTTTCTTTTATTCTGACTTTTCCCTATTACTCTTTTCAGATTCCAGGTGAATGGAATTGACGATTTTAACATTGTGGAATGGAAAAAGAAAAGAAAATTACAGAGTGATCAGTTGGATTTGCTTAGACCAAAACATAAATGCTGGGTTGGAAGTTACTCCCCTGGACATGCTTCAATGTTTGATGAAAATCCAGTTTTTGAGGGCATTCATAATCACACAGGTGAAAGGTCCGAACCTGAATCTGCCAAAGATAGCAATAGTTTTATGGAAGACAGTGATACTGCTGTGTCTGTAAATAAAGAAGCCAATCATGAGACAGATTGCGAAAATTCATACTTATATGGTAGGCCATCCATTTCTTTGGTTGATTGGGTTTCACTACTATAATGTTAGTTACATAAATGTTACTCTTGCACTTTGTTCTCTACACTTCCCTTTTACACCTTTTATGTTGAAAAAGGTGAGAGTTCTCCCTCCCCTTAACTCGATTTTTTTTTTACCATAAAAAGGTTATGTGTACGAGTAAAGGGTACAAAATCAAGTCTAGGATAAGATGATATGATGCGGATAATGCTTTGGTAACTCCAACTCTTTGGAATGTATAAACAGTAAACAGGATGAGCTATATCGAAGAGGAAGCATTTGTTGACACTGAATGCATTCCACACTATGATGATACTGATGCACAAGATTTGAACAATGATGAGGAACACCTTATGGGGATAGAAGGCTTTTCAGGTCGTGAATGCTCAGAATATGCCAAAGAAAGCAATGAGTACCCAGTAGATAAGGAATTCGAAGATTTTCTCTTTTCCAGTGGGGTAGATCCTAATGTGTATGTCCTTTCATCCGGAAGATGGAATGTAAATCAAGGTATTATGCTTGTTCTAGACAGTTAATATGCACGAAGATTATTTCACCGAAGATTATTGCACCATGCTAGCACTTGTTAAATTAGTTTCAAGGTTACTGCATTTGATAAAGAAGTTTTGTTTAGATATTGCTGGTTAACGAATCAAAATGTTTTCAATGCAGAAGCCCAATCAAACTCAAGGCCACCAACAATTGATCAAGAGTTTGAGGAGTACTTTTCTATGCTTATGCTCTAGGACAGTTTTCCTATGAAGGGAGTATGTATAATTGTATATATAATGTTGAAAACAGATGTTGTATGTACTAATTGTACGAAGATTTAGTAGTTTTAGTTACATCTGCAGTAGGTGTAATATGAGATTTCTTCTTATATCCTCCCTCCTCTTTTTCATTTATCACCATTCATTTCCTTAATGCAGTTCTCAAATTATCTTCCATGTTACATTTTTCACCTCACTTCATATTATTCCCCACTATCTTTGATCCCCTTTCTTTTCTTCCCAGACCAATATCGTTAGTAAGTACGTCCTACCTTGCTGTAGAACTTATATACCAAAATAATATGATTATTTTTATTGATTATGTTTGTGTTTTTTATAGGTGATAATCTTACTCAAGTTTGGACTGAAGTAATCTTATGTAAGTTAACATCATTGTTTTAGTTCTAACATCAAGGAAACTATTTATTAATCAGTTCCTACATTTTATCAAAAGTTCAACTGTGTTAAATATCATAATTCTGGATAAATTTATAAAAGTTTAGTAATATTTCTTTCAACATTTTTCATTGCGGCTAATCTTCATTATGCTATCAAATTGACTAAAATTTAGGACAATAATTGAAGCAACCTTGGAATCCGTCTATTATAATTAATGAACTATTTTCAATCCATCGATTATGCAAAAGTTAAAAAGTTATTGTTATGCATAATTGCCTTAGTAGTTATTCGTCTTCCTTTAATACACGAGGAGATAATAGGATGAGTTTTTGTTTCTTTTCTGAAAATTCAAAGAACATCATCAAAAACTTAATTGTGACTCTTGTTTGTGTCCTTGGCAACTTTTTTGTGCATGGAGTGACTAAGTTTCACTCCATGAAGTCCTGATGCTGGAACAAAATAATTAAAAAAAGTGACAAGACAAAGACAGAGATCATCCATGGTAGATGTAGGTGGTTCATCCATATGAAATAGTCTTATTCATGGTTTTCAACTACACTAGTAGATGACAACTTCAAAACTCACTATGATTGGTGTTGGTTAATTTGCACAACATGAAGTTGAGTACAACAAAAGCACTGAAGGTTTAACCTAAATATATTATAGAAATAATAAATGACAAAGGATGAAGTAGATGATAAAAAGCACACCAAACTCGTATGGTAAGAAAGCCTAATCTAGCAAGGAAGCACTAGGAAGGATCAAAACTATACGGAGGCAATTACTTCCTGCACCCGTCACATTTCTTCCTGCAACAAAGAAGAGAAAATGAACTATAAAAATTTAACCTTATATTTTTATTTTTATTTTCAACAAAAGAGTTTTGATAATTCAAAAATATTTATAATAAAAAATAATTTAGAACTTAATATTTTTAAATAATTATCTTATTTAATTATATTATAAAATATTAAAAGATATAAACTATCAAACTTTTTTAGTCTAGAAAAGATTTTCTAAAATAATTTTATATCTTCACCGTAATCAAATATATTTTAAAATATTATATTGTTTAAAATAATTGAAAAAAATTACCTATTAGAAAAAAAATTACAACAGAGGAGTTCAATCCAAGTTTTATATAAAAAGATAAAGGAAAAAGCAGGAAATGGAATTTAAGAATCATTTTAGGGAAACTTAATTTCGTCAACTCCATCCTTCTTTTCTATTTTTATATTTATTACGATTAATCCCGCCTCTTAGTCAAGTAGTCGGCTTACTTCGTCAGGCCTGATGCTCTAAAGTAGTAACGAGATTCAATTATATGGACTACGAGTTTTAAGTATAAGTATATTGAAACCAATTGGTTAGTTCCATGGTATATATACTTCCCACAAAGTGTAAAGTAGAATTCGTTGTCAATGAACTGGTCTGAGAATATTGGTTTCTTACTTTTATCTAGTCTATGGTAAACTGTGATTGTGAAATTCCAGTCAAGATTACACAACCAAAATTCTCTTGATGACGATAGCATTGACTGAGAAATTTATTTTCATTCTTTGTTCTTACCAGAAGACAAATATAGAGTTAAACTTTGAATAGAAGCAAAACAATGATCAAGGACCACATCATGAGAGGAATCAATCAAATTTTTAATTATCAGCAATTGCTTTAAACATTATGTAAGGAGGCAAAACCCCTGTGACTGCTCATTCCAAACCAACCAACCAAACATGACAGCAACATCAAGACAAACCAAACCGTTTACCTGAACAAACTAACCCCACACTTACACGAGTCACAACTTATTTGTTTTCCCTCTACACATCAAAAGAATAAACATTTGTTGAAAAGAAAGGAACAAGAAACATTGGAGAGTAACTGAGGAAGAAATGATGCAGAGCCAATGAACCCGGCCCAAAAGGATCAGTCAAAGTCAACATTTTGGAAGATCAGAAGGGGGTGGTTGCAGCTTCTGGTTGGGTCCAGCTCCATCCAATACTAGCCATGCCATTCTCAATCCCCAACTTGTGTGCAGGTCAAGGTGGCAGTGCATGAACCACACTCCTGTTTCAACCATAACTCAAATGTGACATAGATAACAATGACATTAGATAGAGACAGGTTTACAAACTCATGTATGACAACGTCATTTTATCTGATAAACTTTTGTAACAAAGGGATTATGTCATGCATATCTTCAACTTTTATAGAAACTTTTCTAACTTTTAGAAAGGTATAGGTATGCAAAGTATATCTTGTTATATTTTTACATTCTCTTATAAGAAGAATACGTTCTATATGATACAGCACGTTACAAGAATGTTGGCATTGAAAAATACATACCTGGGTTGTCTGCTTTAAACCGAATAGCGATCCAGCCACCAGCAGGAACACCAGCTGTGTTCCTCTCGACTGGGTCAACAAGATTAAACTTTGCAGGGTCATTGTTAGGGTCATAGTTTCCAAAGCCTTGCCCCACAATAAAGAAGTCATAACCATGAAGATGCAAGGGGTGGCTCTCAGCCCCAAGAATATTAGTATCCTGCAACACTACCTCCACACTGGTGTTGAACTTGAGCACCACCAACTTTGTGTCATTAGTGACCATTGTATTGTTTGGAGGTGTTCCTGTGTAATTGAAAGGGTTCAAAGGGGTAGCAGGAAAATCAGTCTTGAAAACCCCATTAGTCTGTCCAGAATAGTAGGCCTGCATGATGGAAACAGATGATGGAAGTGCAAAGGAAATATTGTTCACTGAGGCTGCAAACTTGGTGCTGTTGCTTGGCCCTTGGCATGTTGTGTTTTTCGGGCAAGGATTGGTCCCTAGCCCCACAGTGAAGAAAAATTTTCTGTCCACTTTCTGGGGTACGTTGACGGGGAATTTAGCATTGGCCAAGCTTCTGAATTTTCCTGTGAAGTTTGCCACAAAATTTGTGGCATTTATTGGTGGCAAAGTTGGTTTGAGAAGGGTGAGATTTTCGAGAGAAGAATGGTGCAAAGGTTGCTTGTAAATGAGGATACCAGCGGTTGTAGAATTGTCAAAGGTGCCACGGCCTGTGAAATAAGGTCTAGCAGCCATTTGGTACGAGGCATTGGGAAAATATGGCTTGGTTTTGAGAAGAACGTTTGTGGTTTGTCCAGGTGCTATGAGGAGTGTATCTGTGTCAAATGGTTTGGTGTATTTAGCATCTGCTTCAACCACGGTTAGGGTGTGATTGGCTATGCTAAAGAAGAGTTCTTCGTTGAGTGCAGCATTGATTAGCCTTAGCAGATATGTCTTGCCTGGCTTCACCTTTAGTGTGTACGTATCTTCAAAAATCAATCATGAATTATATCATTAAGTTTTCTGTCATAGATGAAAAGGCACTTGTGTGCAGTTGATTATTGATTTTTTATTGTTACCAACTTAGTCTATTCTATTATGATATTTATAAGTAGCATATTTGGTTCCCACAATTAATGACCCTCCTATCATATTTATCTAAATGTACTTGTACTATTTTACTTTAAGAACAAAAAAAAAATGGTTTTCATTTTCATTGTTTATTTTTACTTTAAGCTATAAAATATTATTCATTTTTTTTTCTATTTCTAAAGATATGCATAAGAAATAATAAAAACATCTCTTTTTCAATATTTCATGTAGACAATTTTCAACATTCAAAAATTTTTTATTATTTTTCATTATTTCCTATAAAATTTTGTATAAATTAGATTATATTTTGTTATTAAACACAAAATAGAAATTGAAATAAAATTTCTCGAACAAGTAGTCAATCTTCTCTCCTAGTTTTCTACCTAATCTTCAACCATTACATGTGGTAAAAGTGAAACATGGGAATATGATTGAGAAATGAAGTTTAACAATGTACTAGGATATACTTATTGTGTCTCTAAACACCCTGTTCATGTTCAAAAGTTCCCTACTCTATTTATCTTTCAAAAAAAACACCCTTTCATAGATGTATTGAAGATCCAACTTTAGGGTGCCATTATAGAAGATTTTGTTTTGTACCTTTAGAGGAACAATTATACAAAGGCCCAGGAAGTCCATTGACGGTGTATGCATCTGAAACATTAGGTCCCCCTCCTGTCTGCAGGGCTTGACTTATTACAGCTTCTGGGTCTACATTAAACCATTCCCCTGCAATCCCAAAACCAAGTTACCACCATATATGTCACTAAACTCAACAAATTAATTGTATATGTAAATATAAATATACTTATAACATTATATATGTGTATATGTATGAGATAGTATCTCTAAATATAAAAAAGGAGCTAATCTTGATCATACCATTATGTAGGAAATGCCAATATTACTTTAATTAAACTTATTATTCTTGACTACTTATTTTTATTCCTTGGTCAAGACTTGTTTTCTTCTGTTCTCAGACTCGACTAATATATTGTGTGGTAGGTATTAATAAACTATACCAAAAAGAATGGGGATTTCTTTGTACGGTTTCTGGAATGGATAAGATTCATTGTGCTTGGGGAGGATGATGATGGGACCATAAATGGTTGCTCTTAGCCATGATATGTGAGCATGCCAAAGAAGAGTTCCTCTCTGCCCAACGATGGTGAAGTTGTATGTGTATGACTGGTTGGTTTGTATAGGACACTGTGTCACATATGCTGGTCCATCAGCCCACCCACTTGTTATCTGACGGATACCATGCCTGCAACAATCCAAGATCAGTACAAAAATG